TGTTAAGAAACACAGTCTAAAAAAGAATTATACAAGTATTCATATAATTCATTCCCACACAGAACAAAAACTCCATTAGACGTCTATTAGAAGTCGACAGCTCTATGCGACATCTAATAGATGTCTAATGGATGTCTGGATGGATGGATGTTGTGTGGGTTCTTATTTCAACATTTGTCTTAAAGTATTAACATACAGACTACTAGTATCAGGCTGCTCTTCAAACCCGATGAAGTGAGCTGTAATGTTCACGAAACGTCGGTATAAAAATGACACTAACGCGGTTCAAACCCGAAAAAACATCTCTGTATGTTAATACTACACACCGCAAAAGCATCAAATATCAAATTTGTCTTAAAGTAATGTTTTAAGATGCTAATACAGCTCTAATAATTGATTTATGGCACTTTAAAACTCTCTTAAAATAGTACTTAAAACGATAATAAATAATATATAAGAACGAATTAACAAACGTCGGCTAAAGACTTGCGCTTTTAAAGCGGTTTTTATGCGCATGATTGAAACATATTTTTTAAAGTGTTTTTAGAGCAAATTAGACGTTTTCAAGCAACTTTTAAGGTTTAGAAATTATTTTTGGAACATTGTGAATCGAATCCAATTACATTATTCATCTGCAAAAAAAGTGCGTAACTGGCAGCACTTTTGAGAGATGCGTTCTCAACAGCGCTTTCAAAGCGCTTTGCACGCGCTGCTGTGCTACGTGAGCAAAATATGGTTTGGCGACTATATCTGTCAAACATGTGAGATGTCAAAATGAGACCAAAATTATAACAAGTCTGCCACTAGCAAAGCAAAGTCAAAGTGACGCACCAAATCCAGAACAGATTTGGTGATTGTTTGTTGGTGCAAAAATCGCACCAAATACACATCATATCTGTTACCAGAACTGTCAACAAAACAGTAGCAAATACAGACTAAATCTGCCGTTAAAAGCGCCGACAGATTGTTGCCAAACGCAGATCAGATCTGTTGCCTAGAATCTAAGTGGAATTACAAAAAAAAAAAAAAAAAAAAAAAAAAAAAAAAAAAAAAATCAAAATTGATTTAACATCAAAATCATTAAGTCAATGGGTGCGTTCAGACAACTCAACGGTTGAAAGATCATCACTTATGATAAGACTATTCTTCCAAATCTGCAGCGGTTCCAAAAGTATGATCCAATCAGAAGTGATTATCTCTCAACCGTTGTGCAACTGTCGAGTTATCTGAACGCACCTATTGTGTTCAGTAACGTTTATTCCACCGAAACTAATTATTTACTTCTGAACCGGAGGTCAATTCATGACTGACAACCATTAAAAACTAAAAACCTAGAAAAACAAAAACTTTGAACTAAGAACCAAAACAAATGAGAATTTAGAAAACGTTACACAAGGCAGAGAAGTAGTCCAATTGACTGGAACCAAACCTAACTACCTTCAAAAGAGATGACGAGCAATTTGCTCAGCCGCAGGATCCGTAGAAGAGGCGGTCGGCAAAACGCGAACCTCCCTCTTCCAGAAATTCTCTCTACACTTTCCTAATTTAGTTATTAGGAGTATAAATAAGTTTCCGCCGTTTGACAAAAGATGGTCTCAATAGTATGTTATTGTTAAAATTGTCAGCTGTAAAACGTCATATCGTAGGATTGGACATCTGCTAACAACATAACCTTGAAATATTAGCGATTTTGTATC